ATAACTGTTCAGGTTTAACTGTAGTGTCAAACATCTAAATACTTTTATGTAGTGATACTATTTTCGTATAAGTGAGTGTTAGTATACTTCTTATAAAATAATTATGTTTTAAAAGTATACTTGTAGTCAGAGCACTTCGGCCCCATTATATTTATAGTTGTATATCTTTAGTAAATTAATATACTAAGTTCACTATAAACTATTGCTCTGATACCAATCTGTCACAACCCTGAATTTGTACGGCGGAAACATTCAGGGGTGGAGGACTTCATGTCAAGTATCACAACAATGCATAATATTAATCAAAGTATAACAACCATTGTATTACGAAGTTTTAAGTTTTACAACTGTGTTCAAAATATAATGTATATGAACTCAAAGTACAAGTTCAAAAGACATGAGTTTATAGATCTCCATCTTCTCAAAAGCTGTGGTTGTACCTGTATCACTATTTCCCTGAGAATACAAGTAGATTTTTGGAAAAGTGTCAACAGTTAAGTTGGTGGTTTCATAAGTATGTTATGAAAATATTATGTTATTTGTTTTTCCTTAATGTAAATACGTTCACCCAGAAAATCCTATATTTTCTGTTGTATATGTATTTGTATTCCGAAATAGTATAGTTTTAAATCCTCATAAAACTATAAAAAGTATGTTTTCTCTATATTTGAATAGTATCCTGTATTTCTACTGTGTGAAGTTGTTTACTTATTATTCAATACCAAATTGTGAGTTATCATAACCATACTTGATGACCTAAGCCTCGCCTGAACCACAATGTTCTTTGGGCATTGTAAAATGGTACGACAATCGTCACCCCAGGCCTGTCGGCCTTGCTGTTGCAAACAGCTTAGGTCTGGGATTGTTGGTCTCGTATAGATCTATACATAAGTGTCACATTCTCCTTCCAGGAGACTTTAGTTATAATATTCAGGACTTTTGTTTTATACTTAAATATGTACTTGAAGTGAGTCTCACAAAAGCTATATTGATAATATGTAAGATAACTATATGAATAAATAAGTTTCATAAACTATATAAAATATAGTTTTATATGTAGTACAGTATTCCATTTGTTTTCTGATGATTGTTTATATGTTTACTTCATGATAAAGTATTCCATTTGTTTTCTGATGATTGTTTTACATGTTTACTCTATTTGTATTTTATACTATGTTTATGTGTTTTGAAACTTGAAATCAAAGAATGAGTCCTCTAAACTATACCTATTATAGTTTAGCTGTTTGTTTTACTGAAAGAATCTGTGATACTATTATTCTATGAAATTATCTGTTTGTACCCATGTATTATCAAATAGTTTGTAAGCTATTTTATATTTATATAAATGTAATATTTATATAATTGTGATTAATTAGACATTCAATTAAATAGCTTTACCCTATGTCCACTACCAAACCAAGAACATGAAATGGGGTTAAATTATATATACTGAATCTTCTAAATCCAAATTATATAATTTACACATATACAAATATGTAATTTTATCGATTATACCAATTTAAAAGTATTAAAAACATTTGAAAACTTTTATGATATTAACACAATCTTATTGTGTTTCACTTGTATTTTCCCCTATAAACAATAAACATTAAGTAAATGCGGAGGTATGAACTCACTTGATAGGTGGTGATTTGGATAGCATTTCGTTTTCTGGAAAGAAGTTTATTTGACGAAAAACTGGCTTTAATTGGGCAGAGTTTTGGCTGGAGAAGGTTGTTTTTCTCGGGAATCTCGGGGCTTTGGGGCTTGCTCAGGGTTTTAGATATGCTTCTGGGGCTTTGGGGCTTGTATGAAAGCTTATTTAGGTGAAAGGAGTGAAAAAGATGAAAAAGGGTGTAAAATGGCCTAAATCCGAGAAGTCTGACACCGTTTATATAGGGGTGCGAGGGTACGGTCCGAAGATGTGTCAGCAACGACATGCATCGTCAGTAGCGAGGGTGCGAGACAGGGAGGCGAGTGTGCGTCGGAAGGCTACTGAACCAAACTTTGGTCCAATCAGGAGGTGCCACACGAGACTTTGGTCCAATCAGGAGGTGCCACACGAGACATTTGTCCAATCAGGAGACGACATGTGGCGGACACGGGGCGGCTTCGCCTGCAAGGTGACGTGGTGGAAGGGTGACCATGAGATTTATCCCGGTTTTCAACATTTTTTCGATTTTTGTGCCAAAATTACGAAATTCATAATTTTCGCATACGAACTCCGTTTTTAAAGTTCTTTATAAGCACGCGTAGGTAAAATTCTACTCTACGACTTTCGTTTAGACTACTTCGGCTAATTTTGACTTTATATTTAATATTATTATTTTTAATAGACCGAAACAGGAAAAATCTGTTAAAAATTCATAACTTCTTCATCTGAAGTCCGTTTTCGTCAGACTTTTTACCGTTGTACTACTATTCACGAGACCTTCGATTCTCGTTTAACGGACTTTTCCTGTCCCGACCTGTTAAAAAAATAACTTTAAAAATAAATCAAAAATAGCTGACCGAGTCTAAACGAAAGTTGTAAAGCTTAATTTCACCTACGCGTGGATATAAAGAACGTCAAAAACGGAGTTCGTATGCTAAAGATATGAATTTTTGAATTTTGGAGTACAAACTTCGAGTTTTGACAAAAATCATGACGTGAATAAATTATGGTTCATGACGTGAGGTATTTTATTGACACCTCTCAAACGTAGAACACACGCGACAAGCCTATGAGCTGATCCGGACGAACTCACAACGTGAGCTTATATGGCTCACGACATGAGAGTTGATTTTTCAACCTATAAATAGAGGACCAACCCTCTTGTTTCGGTTTACACAAAAATGCAACCTCTCTCCCGTATTGCTAAATTTGAGCTACTTTCACAAGCCGACGATCGCTAATGCTGACAGTGTCTAGTTAAATTCTATTTAGTCACGCTACTAAGGTGAATGTATAGTCACTTTCATCTTACGCATAGAGATGAAGTATTTTATATAAAATACGTGCTATGTGTAATTATATTGTTTGTTAATTTTAGATGGTTGCTGAATGAATGTTTTATACATGTTTTAAAATGATTTAAACCGCATATGTATTTTTTTTATCTACAAATATGTTGGGTATAACATGAGTAGATGAAATACTTGGTGTGTGTTAAAATGATTAGATGCCTCGATGTTGTTGTTGTTGTTGTTGTTGTCATCTAGCGGAGTATAGATGACTACCACAAACTTTTCTAGACAGTCTTGTGGAACGCTAGTAGGCTCGCAACCTGTAGGTGTTGGTGAACTATATGTTCGTTGGTGTACTCCATCCCCCTCACAGTTGCCTTAAGGACACATATGGCTCAGGAATCCCTTAGCAGTTGTGTCCATCCCGATGATGATCCTTGGGATGGATGATCCTTAGGCTAGATCCCTTGTGATAGGTGTTTAGGGACGTAAAGTAAGGATAACGGGAACGGGTAATCAGGGTTATTGTTGGTTGATAAAATTAATAAATTTATTTTGGGTTGATAAATTTGTTGTTGAGTGATGAAATTAATAAATTTATTTTTGTTGATGAATTTAATAAATTTATTATTTGTGGGTTGAAAACCCTATATGCTCACCAGGCTCCCAAGCCTGACCCACTCAACTTTTTATATTACAGGTAGTGGACTCAGAGCATAGTTGAATGATGAAGATGGATTTTTGATTTATAGAAAATTAGATGTAAATATCTGTTGTAAGGTCTATAATTTGTTGTTTATGCTTTTGGCCTGTATTGGAACATGACATCCCGAGTTTTTTTTTTATATAATGAAAATATATTTCTTTAAAGAAATACTTTGATAAATTTTTATTATATTTTGTTTTGGGAACAAATTCCGCAACATGTTTTGGAAGATTACTCTAATTTTATTTTAAAAACATAAACTAAATTGGTTTTTTCTGGTCGAGAAATTGGGCGATGTCACAGTATGTCAACCCCGTATAGATGTATACATATGTATCTCGCTTCAAAGATTGATGGTTATAGTAATGTGGGTATGCTAAGTTTTTAGACTCAGCTAATGAATAACCTCTCACTAAAAAGCCCTTAACTAAAAAGTTTGTTAATAGCTCTCAACCCTAATTTAATTGTGATTAAGTCACTAGGCATAATGAATATCGTTGTATGTGGTTTATAAAAGCCGAGTATGTTGACATGTTTGCAAAAGTGTGGTATGGTCGCTTTTATAAAAATGAATGCTTCAAATTAATGAACATAGGTACATATATAAACGTTTTGTATTTAAACATATAAATAAACATGTATAGTAATAGCTTGAATCCTTGAAATACTACAAAGTCTCATAACATGCTTGTTATAATATGCAATGTCATATAAAAATCATATAATTTTGTACCGTATAGTATTTGTTGTGCGAAATGGTTATTTCATGATAAAATAATCATAATACGTATACAGAAAATTTATACTAGTTTATTCGTAACAATATAGTAAATTGTTAAATAACAATATTTTAAAAAATTAGATTTATTGTATTTTCGCATAAAAAGATTATTGACTTGTATAAAAAAAAAATACTTAGACAAATGTATCCCCCCTCCCCTTAAATAATTAAAATATTAAAAATGGGTCGTAAGCGCTCACCCCCGAAGCGTGAGTTCCAATCGTTCGAATACGGTTACTTTGAGATGTTTGACGTGAGAAACCGTAAATCCACAATTATGACTTTAAAATACTCTCGGAGCCATTTCGTAAACAATTTGAATTGTTGGAGACTAATTTGTTACTTTGCTAAAGTATAAGGGCTTTTTGGTAATTTAATTAAATGGTTAGGACTTTTTTGGTAAAAAAAAATACCAAACGAGGGGTTGTTTTAAAAAAAATGGATTCAATAATTGGGGTTGGGACAGATTTTGAATAAAGAGTTTAACAGTAGGGGCATTTTGGCCCTTTCACACACTAAATGAAATTAGGGCTTAAATATACAACCAGTGTTTTCGTTTTCTTTATTCGATTGGGCATATGAAGGAAAAGGGGATACGAATCGAATGCTAAAGCAGTGAACGAAGACGGGAGATGGAGGCTCTCAAGCTGCTCAATCCAGATTTGCTTGATCGATCGATCGCGAAGGAGGATGTCGTCTCCGGGTGTTTGGCGAGGCCGAATAAGAGAAGGATCGAAGCGGCGGGGGAAGAGGCGTACGAGGGTAGCGGCGTTGCTTCCGATTCTTCGGTCTTTGCAGACCACGAAGAAGTCCGAAGGGAAGAGGAAGCTCGCAGCGACTAATCAGGGGGGTTTTGTGAGTCGATTGCTTGCGAAGGCAGTGTTTCGGGGATGGATGGGCCGAAGAGAGGGGAAAGCAGCGAAGCGGCTGGGATTTCGGCAGTGGAGCTCGACGGAAAAGATGAATGGTGTGATGGGCGAAAAGGGTAAGAGATTCAAGGTGTTTCAGATTGATTGTTTGGTGTGGCTGTTCTTGGTTGCTCTTCTCCTGGTTCGATCGGAAGTAAACACGAAGGAAATGGGAAATAGGTTGATTGAAGGGTAAGGACGAAGCAGCAACCGATAATCCTCTTGATTTTTTTTTTTTTTTTTTTTTTTGATTTGGCATCCAATCCAAAGGGTGATGACACTGTCAGAATGATCGATCAAGGATGTTTTGTTTCCCCCTTTTTTTTGTGTGTTGATTGCAATGGATGATCCTAAGTGTGTGTTTGGGCTTTGGTTTTTTGACAGGGAATGAAGAAGATGGTGATCAGAAGATGTTGGAGTGTTGTTCTCGTTTGATTTGATATTTATTATTGAGAAATTATATTTGGTCAATAATTATGTATTCTATGTATGTGTGTATCTGTGAATGAATTTATTGATTGGTACGGATGTCTATTCTTAATCGATTTAATATACCATTCTTAATCGATTTAATATACACTCTTATTGTATGTATGTGTATATGGGTTTGAGACATTTTATAACAATAATACATGCATAATATTCACACTTTCATATTAAAAGTTTTCCATGTATGTTTATAATATATAGAGAAATCTTCGGAAAAGTTCTAATATTTCACCCTAATTGAGACTTTGTCGTAAACAAATTTTAATTTGAGAGTTTTTTTTTTTAAATTACGGTAAAATATTGAGATTTTTTTCCGGAGATTTCTCTAATATATATAAAGAAATTGAATATTTATACATAATAAGTATCCAAATTTTGCCCTATATACTATTTGTTGGTATTTGGAAATGTTACATGACACACACACATATATATATATATATATATATATATATATATATATATATATATATATATATATATATATATATATATATATATATATGTGTGTGTGTAACATATATCCATGTTGATTACACGTTTAATTTGGATCTTTTGAAGTCGCATACGATACCATATATATATATATATATATATATATATATATATATATATATATATATATATATATATATATAAAGCATTTTAAACATTTCTTGAAATTTAAGAGGTATCAAACCTACTACATCATGTACGATCAACTTATGCTTACCATTCAATACACATATTACATTTGTATATTTAGTATGTTGAAAATCTTAATTGATATCAAATCTATAACCATTATATCATCATGTTTGTATATTTAGTAGGCTGAAAATCTTAAGTACAGGTGAGATACGTTCCGGTGGTTTTCTTCACACCATAGGATTTTCCAGAGAGATAATGATAAAAAAAATTGAAAAATACACTGTTAAAAAATAAAAGTAAAATGTTATAATAAACAAATAAATAGATAAACATTTGTGTGAAATTTATAAATTAAAATGGTTTCTGAACTACAAAAAAGAACTTAAAATAGATTGAAAAAAAAACCCGATTGAATTTACACCCCAGCAAACCGGTCAAAGTTGTGAAACAAGTTAAGATATTACGGTAATTAGAAATTAACATTATGAATGAATGATTATTTGCAATTTACAAAAGTGACATATAAATGGATTTTTCAATGTTTGAGGATTGTAAAAACGAAAAAATTATCAATATTGTAACTTGGTTATACTTGAAGGTTTTTATGGTATGATCTGATCGTCGTAATGAAACTATTCACCGAAATAAATTAATCACCGCTCGAACACTATTTGTCGCCGCCACTTTACGCGGGCACACATCTAGTATAATAACTACAATAACTACAATAAATTTCATATATATTTATTTATCATGATGTATACCTCAATTCTCGTGCCTTCGCATAGATTATATAAATTTTCTAAAAGTTCTTGCTTAGTTAAGGTCATGGTGATTCCAAAAATTGTAACGCCCTGTTCCGAATCAATTCCTAATCCGAGGCTGTGGCCAGAAGAGCGGTCATCATAAGGAGTCGGGCCTTTTCAAAGGTAATATTTACCCCCTTTTGGATGTGGGTAATGTAGATATGTGATCCAATAGTTCGGTTTGCACTTTGGAATCAAAGGGTAAAATGGGAAAGTAGTGTTTCAGACTTCTTTTATGAATTATGGATTTTAGTTTGACGTGTTTTAAATCAAAAGTAATTATATAGGGCTGTAGAGCTCCTCAATACCTTTTCATGGATATAAAGAACGTCAAAAACGGAGTTATAAAGAAGAAGTTATGACCGTTTGAAGTTTGGGTGGTTTTGGGCCAAGCTGAGTACGTTGGGTGTACAAAAAGGTGTACGTTGGGCGTACTAATGGAATCATGAGTATGCTGTGCATTCTAGGAGTACGTTGGGCATACACAATCAGTGCGCCAACCCTATTTTTGTGGTTTAAGCCCTACTTAAGCTCCTTAACTCCCCCAAACCCACTCCATTCTTGTCACACCCCCAACCAGACGGCGGAAACATCCGGGGGTTCGTGTGACTTAAATTGAAATATCATCATAATGAATATACATGAAACAAACACATACATCACCAACATTACATAGTACAAATTTCATTGTTCACATCAAGTACATTGTTTAAATATTACATATCTGTAGCATAAATGGTTTGATGACTGACATCTCACAAAAGAAATTTCGAAAACACACTTGATGATTCTTCATTCTAACGTTTACCTGAGAATACAAATTATTTTGAAAAGCGGTCAACATATGTAATGTTGGTGAGTTCATAAGCATGTTTGATATAAAAATAGTTTGTATTGTTTGTAAAACCAAGAAAATCGGATATTTTTTGAAACAACAATTGTTTACGAAATAGGTGCGATGTTCCATAAGTATATGCATGAATGATTTCAAACGTGTAAAAGTGATATGTTTCCCATAATAAATTCTTGTATTATCGTTGTTGTAAGTAAAAGTGAATAATGCTGTTTCCCAGGAAAACACGATGTTTTCTGACTTCATTAGTATGATCTTTTTGTATTATTGTATCGTCACAATCGAATGAATATGATTCCCCATGATTACTTAGATGGTGTTGGATCTCTATGTGAGTCGCTATAACCATGCATAATAATGACTAATTCATCTGTCTTGGCATTCTTGCGAATGTCGGTATTGAATTAAGACTTTGTCACCCTAGACTGGCCGAGTCTAACTGTAGCGAACAACTTAGGTGTGGGGGAGTCACCCCCATAAAGATCTATACACAAACTCTCGCTCTCTCTCCAGGAGACTCTGGTTATAACTACAGACTACGACTGATACTCATTGGTGTCACCCGTTATTTCCCACTAAATCCAACTGAATTTGATTAACCTTGTTCAACAACCTGATTTATGTTTACTTGAACCAAAAGTTAAGCCTAACAGACGAATAGAAGAGGGCAACAGAGATCCACTAATCATGTATTTAATTATAGGCTGCCAAGCATGTGACGGACGCGTTAGTCTATCACACATATGATTGATTTTTGGACCATACTAGCAATGTAATTGGGTCACTAAGGCCTGACAGCATGTAAAAGCCATTGAGGGTCCGTTAGGCATGCTATTGAGTCACTAGAAGCCCAATAAACATGTGTGATATATTGGGCCCAAGAAATCATGATATTGGGTCATAAGGCCCAACAGCATGAATAGAAGATATTGGAGCCCAATCATTGAATCTTTTATGGTTTGTTGAGTTTAAGTTCGTAGTGTTTGTATTTGTTGTATGCTAATTGTTTATTCGCAATGATAAAACAAAAATATCTTATTGTTTGATTTATAACGAAGCTTTAGTTATATATATATATATATATATATATATATATATATATATATATACAGAGAGAGAGAGAGAGGTGGGTTCAATTGAGAAAATAAAAAAAAAGTTGAGAATGGAGGAATCATTATCAGTCACTCATTTAATCTAAGCATAAAAAGACACGGTGACAAACTTGTAAATATGTTAAGAACCTTCAATCTCAAATACGTAACTATAGAGAATTCGATAACAGTTCATTCATCATCAAAATTTTTACTCCAACCTTCAATAATCATCCATATTTCTTCAACTAAACCGGAATTTCTTCGCTGTTCATAACATTGGACTCGGAGTTCTGGACTCGCAATCACAGTCGACATTGAAGGACTCAGAATCGATACTCACAGGTTCCCAATCAGATTTTCGGAAATCAAAATCAAAATGAGAAATTAATCAAACATAGGATGTCGAACTCGAGGTCGAAATCGGAAGTATATGATGATTTGGAATTGATAACTTGATGTTTTTAACATTTTAAAAATAGTTAACTTGTATGCACTCCAACTGTTTGATGAAATGCATAAACTAAATTACCACGTTATATTCACGTATGAATATGTTTTCTCACTTGAATCAGTATATGATTATTAAAAATACAAAACAAATATGCAAGTCTGTATGTTATTCATATGTGAATAACATATAAAAATTATATATTCAAATATTCATAAGTGAATATATTCACAAGTGAATATACCTTGTAATATTCATATGTGAATATACTCTGTAATATTCATAAGTGAATATATCATCTAATATTCACAAGTGAATATACTATGTAATATTCACATGTGATATACCATGTAATACTATGTAATATTCACATATGAAATATCATTTAGTATTCATAAGTAAATATACCATCTAACATTCATAAGTTAATATATTATATTAATATTCACAAGTGAATGCATCGTCTAATATTAAAATATGAATATACTATGTTTATTTTATGCTATATTCATATATGAATGATACTTAATTTGTAAAAAAAAATCATACTTTTTATTCATAAGTGAATAACGAATGTACTGTAATAAAACCTGATACATTTTTATTCACTTATGAATAATGATAGCTGAAAATATTTTTTTTTTTTTATTTTATCTTAAAACTGTATCAATATGAATGTCTTTTGTAGAGAATAAAAAATCATGAATTTTGGTATATTTAAAATCATTTTTTGATAAAAATAGCTTCTAAAAATTTAAAAAAAAAAAAAAACCAAAAAAAAACTATGTTTTTGTATATATTAAGGTAATGATTAGCATAGTTTAAGGAAATATGTTTTGTTGGAAAACACATATCTATTCATTTCCCATTTCCGTTGGTACGACGGAGGCTTTTGCGGCAAAAATAAATGAGTGACTGAGAATGTGTGTGTGTGTGTATATATATATATATATATATATATATATATATATATATATATATATATATATATATATATATAAATCCGTGTGTTATGAACTTGATATTTTAATCCAACGATTTATAATTGTTTATCTGGTCTAAAAACATTTAGTTTGATCATTGCATCCCCTTTTTCTATAAAATGGCACTTTTAGTCCCTTTTTATGAAAATTGATATTTTTGGTCCTCAAACCATTTTTCTTGACCGTTTTGACCCAAACTTTGTTTAAATGGTAATTTCAACCCAACACTATTGTATTGGTCAT